AATAGACTATCTTAGTACCCTTTATCTTTAACTAGCGCTTTTAATAGTAAAGCCGCGCTAAATAAGCTAAGGCTTCGTTTAGGTCGGCTTAAGCTTTTAATATTTACTCCTTAGTAATTTCTTCTTTTTTATCTAATTAATCGGACTCTAGATTTATTTAGGATACTAGGAAATATATTAGCTATAAATAATAAGTAGGATAATAAAGTTACCTATAGGAGCTAATCGCTATACCCGACGTATTATAGGAACGACCCCGCTATATATATTCGGTATACTTAGAAGATTTCTCTAGTATTTTATAGCGGAAGCCGCGCAATAAATAGAAAGAATATAGTATAACGTCGAAACTAAGATAATTAATAGACTTAGCTAAATAAATATACTTAAGGGTCTTATAAGAATAATCCTTCGATATACGATTAGATATACTATTAGTAGTATATCCTAAGAGATAGAAAAGACGAACGGGGAATATATATATACGCGATAAGGGTATATTTATATATAGCGGCTAAGGTAGTAGTAGGTCTTATAGATAAGACTAAAAGGAGGGGAGATATCGTATTACGACTATAGTTAGCGGGCCGTAGGAGAGCCGGCTAAGTTTATATAATAAGGCAGCTCGGATTAATAGTTAGGATAAGAAGTTACTTAGGCTTAGCTCCCTTAAAGCGTACGTAAGCTAAGTAAGCCTTATATAGATAGATTATTACTTAAGAGTATAGCTTATAAGTAAGCTATAGTAAGCTATAAAGGGGATTATAGCTAGGACTATAATCTAAGGATAGTCTTTATAGGTATATATAGCTACCTACTTTTACTCTTTTAGATAAATAGCTCTTTAGCTTTTAATATAGATCTTTATTATAATTCTATCTCTAATTTTAATTACCTAATTATAGTCTACGGTCTATAACCTCCGACTTATTACTAACGTAATATACTTATTATTACTTAGACTACGCCCTATTATATCTACTAATATAAACCCCTTAATAGGTTTATCCCTTAGAAATAATACCGGTTATTATAGTAAGGGAGCGAAGGAGTAAGGACTTACTTAAGTATAAGGCCCTATCGCTTAAGGGTATAAAGGTTATAGTATACGGTAGCGGCGGTAATAAGGCGCTTCTTAGTAGCCCCCTATGCCTACCTATATAAGCCGGCCTTTTAAGCCGATACTATAGCGAGTAGGATAGGAGGCGCCGCCTTATAAGCGCGGCCGGCGCGCGCGTACTAATAGAAGTTACCGCCGCGGCGGCGCCCGACCTAGTTAAGGTAGTTAAGCTCTTATAACGTATAACGTATATAGGGGGCCGAGCGGGCGGCGCCGGCCTATACTTAGCGCTTATACTATAGGAGGTTAGCGGAAAACGCCTATTATGTATACTTAACTATAGACTTATAGGGGTAGCGGAGACGGAGGCGGGGGCTAAAGGGCCGGGCGTTATAAGTAGCGGCGGGGTCGGCGTCGTTACCTTAAAAGGCGATATAAGGGTAGCTAGTATAATAGAGGTAGTAGCGGCGGCGGTAGGCGCGGTAGTAAGGGCGTAGGCAGGAGTAGCGGTAGCGGCGGAGCCGTCGTTAGCTATACTTAGTATAGCGTCGACGAACGACTCTATATACTCTAAGAAAAAGGAAGTAGAGGAGGAGGAGGTAGATATCTTTAGCGCGGAAGTTAGTATTATAGATTATAGCCTCTTACTTTATAAGGCAGGGAACTTACTAGTTAAAGTTATTATTATTATTAAGGCTATTATTACTACTATAGCTATTACTATAAGTATATATTAATAGAGTAGCCTATATAGCTAGGAATAAACTAATGCCTTAAGTAAAGCGGAACTTACTTATTACTACTACTACTATAGTTAAAGAAGGAAGAAAAGGAAGGGAAGGAGGAAGGGGGGATATAGCTATATATACCCCTTAGTAGAGGAGGCTACCTAAGGCCGAGGGAATAAGTAACCTAAGGCTTATATAGGTCTAGGCTAGGCGCCGGCTACCTAGGAGCGTATATAATAGGTTACGCCTTTATTTAAATAGCTAGCTAGCTAATAAGTATAGAGCTAGGTTATAGCTACTTAGGCTAATAAGTATAGGGATAATAGGGCTAGTAAGGCTAGTATAATTAATAGGAAAAGGGTAGGGTAAAGCTAGTAGCATAGGCTTAATAGTATAGAAGCTATTAATAGGGCAGCGCTATACCGCGCTTAAGGGAGGGCATTATATAAGAGTCTTTAACTATTATAGGTTATAGGCTTAGGCTACGGCCTAAGCTATATAAGTTATATATAGAGGGCCGGATCTTATACTTATATATATAGGCTAGCCGTATATAAAAGAGCTTTATATAGCTTATTAATATTATCCTATAGATAATACTTATATATATACCTTTACTTACTCTATAATACTTATTTCTTATTAATTATAAACTTTATTTAAAGCTAGCTAAGAAAGAAGTAAAAAGACTTTAGCTTACTATCTTAAGTTAGCTAAGGGAGTAGCTTTTACGCTAGTAGTATCGCCGCTATAACTAGCGTTATAAAGGTTATAGGGGTTAACGCTAGTCTTATAAATAGCTCCCTTAGTATAGTAAGAACCTTATCTTTCTTACTAGCTATCGCGCTTTTAATTGCTTTTAAGATAGCTATAATACTTCCTATTTATTTAAGGGGGGGCAGAGTACTCCCTTAAAGAAGCAGTACCTTCTTTAAAGAGATATCTATTAAATCTATTAGTTAATAACTTATACTATTATAGAGTAAGTAAAGGTATATATATAGGTACTATCTATAAGATAATATTAATAAGCTATATAGAGCTCTTTTATACGTAGCTAGCTTATATATATATATATAGGATCTAGCTATTTATATATAACTATATAGCTTAGGCTATAGCCTAAGCCTATAACCTATAATAGTTAAAGACTCTTATATTAATAGCCTTTTACTACTTTAAAGACCTTAAAATAAAATAGTATAATATAAAAACAGCGTTTCTATATAATATGCTTAAATATACTATTTACTACTAGATACTACTAAGCTACCTTAAGCTTAGGCTATACTTAAAGCTTCTTAAGGGACTATATAGGCTTTAAATCGCTTTAAGGCTATAGTTTAAAGAGCTCTTAGGCTTCTTTAAAAAGCTAGGCGCTTAATAACTTATTAAAGATACTTATATAATAACTTATAAAGGAGTTATTATCTTCTTCTTTATAGATAATATCGTAATAATATATCTAAAAGAAAAGAAGGCTAAAAAGGAAGAACTTTATACTACTATTATAAAGGAATATACTATTAACTATATAAGGGAACTTCGTTAGTTCCTAGGGGATAGAAGTTATTAGGGATAGGACTTAAAAGAAGCTTTAGCTCTCTTAAGCCTTATATCTCTTAAAGATAGCTAAGAAATTCTATATTAAGGATAATAATTCGATCCTTAGCGTGCCTTAGATCTTAATAATAACTAAAGAGCTTAAGCTATATTAAAAGATAGCTACTAAGGATAAGGTTTATTAATATCTCTCTTTAATTAGCTTAATTCTTTACCTAGCGATTTATACTAGACCTAACGGTATATTCTTAGTTAGAAAACTAGTATAATTTAGCTACAATATAGGCCTAAAGTATAAGAGAGAGGCTAAGAGTTACCTAGTATACCTTTATTATATAAGAGATCGCTATATCTACTTCTTAGTTAAAGAAGCTAAATATAGGTTCCTCTACGCTTTTAATTTATTCTTTATAGATAACCTAAGGACGTAAAAATCCTTATAGGGATATATCTTCTTATTTCTAGGCAGACCCGTTAACTAGAAGGCTATAAAATAAGCAACTATAATAACGTTATTTATAAAGGCTAAGTTACTAGCCCTATTAAGCGCGGCGAGGGAGCAAATATAATTTTCCTAGCTAATTAAAGAGCTTAATATTAAGGTAGAACATACTAATAAGCTATAGTACGATAATATATAGACTATTAGGCTCTTAACTAAACTAAGCGCGAAGCTTAAGATAAACCTTAAGTATATCGATATCTATTATTACTAGCTTTAATAAGAGGTTTAGGAAGAAAGACTCTAGATTATATAGATTAAGTCTATAAAGAATCCCGCTAATAGAATAATAAAGGCCCTTCCTTAGTAAAAGCACGAAGCTTTTATTAAGTAGCTAGGGATATAAGGGAGACCGGTAGTATTAATTAAAGCTAATACGCTAGAGGATAGTTTCGATAGTATTACTACCTAAAAAGAGATATAGATACTCTCTAAGTATTACCTAGGCCTAGGATAGACCTATTATTTTACTAGTATTAACTTATTAAAATGCTCCTGGTTATAATACTAAGGAAGATATTATAAAGAGTATCTCCCTTAATGGTAATAGCCTTACTCGCTAGATATTTAATAAGATTAAATAATTCGCCTATCTCTTTTACCTATTTACCTTACTTACTTAGTAAGACCGAGGTAAAGGGGGTATATTAGAGGGAGCAGACTAACGGTCTAATCCGTATACGTATAAACTCTAGTATAAGAGGTAGGTTAGATATAAGGACTTAAGTTAGGTATCGATATAGTAGAGGAATATTGCCCTAATCGGGATATATAGGAATTAGCACTAATTTAGGGCCACTATAGGTCCTAGATTAATATCTGTCTATATAAATACCCCCTTAATATCGCACAGATAGATAGAAAATATACATTATCGTTTTAACTTAATTATGCCTGCCCTTATCCTTCCGCCCGCGCTCTCAGCTTGCTAAGAGATACCTTTGGTTTTACTCGTACACTGTGGCAAATGAATTCCACTCCTCATCCTGACGTAGACGGCCCAAAGTTTCACGATCCAACATGATCACCACCTCTAGCGGCCTACTTTTTTTTGATGGTAAGACGAGCACCCAACCTTCGTTTGAAGCGATATTTGGTATCCGTACGCCCAAAATAGCACCTAGATTCTGTCCCCACTCCATCTCCATCATATCGTTGAATGCCCCGTTGTCTGTAATTTCCAAGTCTGGGCCTTGGAAGTTATTTGCATCTGGCCCCCTTCAGGACACATACGAGTTAGAATTAAATGTCCCGCCTAGAAAAAAGCCCCATTTAGAGGAGGGCTAAAAGAACGGCTTAACTTACACTCGTTCCGCTTGAGGGGTTGAGTCAAGGGCTCCGATATAACCCCATATCCTATCTGAGGTCCACCAACCGATCGAGTCGCTGATCAGCCTCGCCAGCTCGTGCAGATGCTTCTTAGACTCCACATCCGCTGTACTGACAGTCGTCTTCGCCACGGTGAGGGCGTTGCCGGAGTAGTCGAACGGGAGGGGCGGCGACAACCGCCTCCGAATATCCACCATGTTCACTACCGAGGTTGTCTTGATGCCACGTGCCAGGAGCTGCCGTGCCCTAGAGATGTGGCGCCACAGCAGCGCGCTGAGCACAGTGCTGCCTGTCAACTCCGTCCCTTCGGACGCCGATGGGGGCACCGCGCGCTTGATCGATTGTAGGGACTCCTGGGAGATATTCCAGTATGTAGCCGTCAGCTGGCGGAAGGTCTTCCAGGCAGGGTGAGAAGTATTCCCTTCCAGCGCAATGCGAACCAGCTCTCGCTGCCGGTCCCCGACTAAACCGTCCTTCATCACCGCGTAGTTTGTGAGCTCGGAGATGTGTATATCGCCGCTGCCATGAGTAGCGGAGACCTGGGTCCGGTCCAGGCTCTCGGGCTTAATGACGTCCGAAACTAGACGGCCGTCGGCAATAGCCGCCACGTTTTTGGCCCACACCTGTACGAATACAAAAAAAGCCTTACCGTCCATTACGGCGTGGTGAAAATTGGTAACCTATAGGATCAGTTACGAGCTTGAATCTAAATAGATAGTGATTTGAGCATGGGCTTTATTTACCAGTAACAACCCACCAGTGATGAAAGAAGCCTGGATATTTAGCACTGGACAACGTTCCCTATTGTGATACCTCGGTTCTGGCACGAGCTCCAAGACGGGAAGGGACGCCGGCGCAAACCTTCGGCGCTCGAGGTCCTCGATGTCGAGCTCGGGGTACTCGCGCACGTGAAACCACACCCCTCCACCTTCGACGGTCTCTAGCTGGACGGTTCCGCGCTCATGGTTGTCGGGAACAACGTCCGCAGCGAGGAATGGCATCTCCTCAATAGTGTTGACGAGTCCGCCCTGCAGGTCCTGGATGATGGAGTCCCGCCAGTCGGCCGACTCGACCCGGAAGATCAGGACGATGGGACTCACGAAGCGGTTATCAAGCTGGTCAAAGGGCGAGAGCTTGGTGTGACCAGGGATTAAGGGAACCCTGCTGGGCTTGAGAAATTGCGAAATCATGACGGAGCGTGAAATGAATAGGGTAAACCCTAACTTGCAGAGCCCCCCCTCCGCCGAGAATAGATACAATACTATAATGAGGTGAGCGGGCTTGACAGGAAAACAAATAGATGGATCATTCCCAATAGAATATTATGATTTGAGGGATTGCCCGGTCATGACAATGGTAGGATATTCTAAATTCCGGGACGAATTAACTTACAACCCTAGTGAGGATTCTTAGTTTTTGGTCCCTTTTCTCGTATCTTACGACCAACTAACAGCGGCTGATCTGCATGCCAATGCCCCGCTAGTGTAGACTCAGGCCTTTAGCGTTAGCGTCTGCGTTGTCATTTAGCGTAATCGGCATTTAGCGTTAGCGTCTGCGCTGGCAATGCAGCGTCATCGCAGTGTTTTCTTCCACGTAGATTTAGTACAGCACTTTTGCCCCGGCTTCCAAGTCTGAGACAGGCTCTATCTGCCATAAACCAGCCGAACTTCCTTGCCACCACACCGCCTGATTCAGTTTCTTTTCTGCAGTGAAGTAGAAATATAAAAGAAAACTCCGTCGATTGTTACGAATTAGTTGCTTATTTCCTAAGATATTAGGATTCTTTTAGTTGAAGTAGAGTAACGACGTCGCCCTTACTTCCATAAGAAAAGACGAGAACAAGTGCTGAGCATGTCATCCTCGACAAACCGTGGTGGTGTGCTTCCAGATGCCGTTGCCATCGTGGGCATGTCGTGCCGTTTCTCCGGCATTGCAACATCTCCCGAGGGCCTCTGGCAAATGCTGTCCAAAGGACTTACAGGGTGGGCAACTAGCGGGAAGAACCGATTCTGTCTGGAGTCGTTCTGGCATCCTCAATCAGATCTTAACGGCTCGGTAAGTGAGAAAACGATTGGTATGATAGTCCTAACGTAGAAGTTTGGAAAGTCTTACTGGGGTCTGCAGTTCAATACTCGTGGATTCCATCTCCTCAACCAGGATCCGGCATTATTCGACGGTGCTTTCTTCCACATACCAAATATCGAAGCCAAAGCCATGGATCCACAACAAAGAATGATGCTTGAAGTTGCATACGAAGCTTTTGAAGATGCCGGAATTCCCTTGGCAGATCTGGCAGGTTCCGATACGGCCGTATACTGTGCTGTGTCGCATCATGACTACGAGAAAATCTTGGGTAGAGATCCGGAGGTGTCACCAAAGTCAGTAAAGATTAATAACTGGTGCGATTCAGTGTCAATGCTAACGAGAAGAAAAAGATATCGGTTCACAGGAACGGTATGGCCTAATTATAACCCAACGTATACTTCCAAAAAGTGTGGCTAAGATTTAATTAGGGGCCATCAATACTCGCAAACCGCGTGTCTTACTTTTTTGACTTGCACGGGCCTAGTATGGCCATCGATACGGCCTGTTCCAGTGGCTTGGTTGCCATACATCAAGCCTGCCAATCGATTCGTACTGGAGAAGCTAAACAGGCTCTCGTTGGAGGCGTAAATCTTATTCTTGATCCCGACCAAGTCAGCATAATGTCGTCCATGTCGTAAGTGCGTTTGGTCATGTTTCTCTCTGCACCAACTCTTTTTAACCATAATCACAGATTTTTATCTGCTCATGGGCGCTGCTACTCTTTTGATTCTCGCGCAGATGGGTACGGAAGAGGAGAGGGTGTTGCTGCCGTCATGCTCAAGCCGTTGGACCAAGCCTTACGTGACGGTGATGCTATTCGAGCCGTCATACATGGTAGCGGTGTTGTGCAGGATGGTCATACCGCAGGCATTACCATGCCCTCCAGTGAAGCACAAATGAACATGATCAACAAAGTCTACAAACAGGCAGGCCTGAACCCGAGCGACACAGCTTATGTCGAAGCACATGGTACGTGACGAGACATATGTCATATCTTGGTGTGCGTTCTACCACTTACCATTAAAGGAACTGGAACGACTGTTGGGGACAAACTTGAAGCCGCTGCCCTGCGAGATACGTTTTGCAAAAACCGTAGAGAAAGAACAACTCCTTTACTCATCGGCTCTGTCAAGGCCAATATCGGCCACACAGAAAGCGTGGCCGGGCTAGCAGGTGTGATAAAAACTGTTCTGATGCTTGAGAAAGGCCTCATACCACCTAATCCAACCTTTATCAAGCCGAGCGACAGCATTCCGCTTGAAACCTGGAATATAGATGTAAGTCGCTTATCCAAGACTGGCGGTATATCTCATACGTGCGCTCCCAATCCCCACTCCTTTATTTACAAATATACACCAGCAAGTTCTAATGCGATGAGACATAAGGTGCCAAAACAATTGATTCCTTGGCCGGAGCATAAATTACGTCGAGCATCCGTAAACAGCTTTGGATATGGCGGCACAAATGCTCATGTCATCCTCGCAGCTCCCGTTCGTCGGGATCCATCATCAACTACTAAAGAGCCGCAACTAGTAGTGAAAGCACCGCAGCCGCAGCCACCATGGCCCCGTCTCTTTGTTTTATCCCACGCACTCGAGTCGGGAGTGAGGGAGGCTGCTGCTAACCTGCGGCGACTCGTTGCCAACCTTGACGGAACCTGCCGGTCCCTGGACAGCCTTGCCTTCACACTCTGCCGGCGCTCGGTCTTGAATTACCGCTTATTCTTTACCGCTTCAACCCAGCTGGAGCTTATTCAGGAACTCGATCGTGAAAAGACTGGCCGAAATCGAATCCATGGCCATGCGCACCCCCCTAAGTTGTGCTTTGCCTTCACAGGTCAAGGCGCTCAGTGGGCAGGCATGGCTTGCGGCTTGCTCTCCACAAGTCCGGTCTTCAAGCAGTCTATGCAACGATCCGAGGAGACGCTGCTGCAGTTAGGTGCCAATTGGCAGCTGATCCAAGAGCTGTCCAAGCAGGACGGCAGTCGGATCAATGAAGCCGAGCTGTCCCAGCCGGTTTGCACTGCCGTTCAGGTCGGGTTGGTAGACATGCTAGCAGCCTGGAACGTGTTTCCTGCGGGCGTTGTTGGACACAGCTCCGGCGAAATCGCCGCTGCTTATGCTGTCGGAATGCTTTCGGCCGAAGACGCACTGAGCGTTGCATATCATCGCGGCATGCACGTTAGGAGGCTAAAGGAACTCTATCCTGATCTCCACGGTGCCATGCTCGCGGCGGGTATCTCGGCAGCCGACGCGCAGGCTTACCTTGTGGACGATCCTAGCGCTGGAAAGGCCATCGTTGCTTGCGAAAACTCTCCTTGCAGTGTGACAATTTCCGGGGATGAGAAGGCCGTGTCAATTGTTCAAGGGAAGCTGGCAGCAGATCAGCTCTTCAATCGCAGTCTCGTCGTTGAGGCAGCGTACCATTCTCACCATATGGAGCTCGTTCAAGAACTGTATTGGGCCTCGATACAAAATGTCCAATGTAGTCGACGCCGGCGCGATGTCCATATGATCTCATCCGTCTATGGCGAGGAGGTCCAAGATGCCGATCTAGATGCCCACTACTGGTGCAAGAATCTGACATCCCCCGTCCGTTTTGCTGATGCTCTAGCTAAACTTCTCCGATTAACCCGAGATAAAGACCAAGGTGCGGTCGTAATTGTCGAAATTGGCCCTCACTCGGCATTGGCTGGTCCGATCAAGCAGATCGTCAAGGGATCAAACCTGAAACACATAGACTATCTCTCAGTTCTTGTCCGCAAACAAGATGCCAGCAACACAGCCATCACAGCAGCTGGCAGGCTCTTCCAACTCGGATATGTCAGTCTTGACCTAGATACCATCAACGATCCACATGGCAACGCCGAGAAACGCATCCTCTCCGACCTGCCACGGTACGGCTGGACGCATAAGACGGAGCATTGGAGCGAATCCCGCCGCAGTGCAAAATACCGACTCCGCAAGTTCCCAAGGCACGACCTCCTGGGAACTGCCGCCATGGATAGCCTCTCAGAAGAGCCGACGTGGAGAAACTACCTGCGCCTCCAGGAGCAGCCATGGCTGGTGGGACACTCGATCGGAGGGTCGATCGTGTTCCCTGCCGCCGGGTACCTGGTCATGGCACTGGAGGCTCTCAAACAGGCTACCTTGCAAGGCTCAAAGCCCTGGAAGAATTTGCGAGTCATGTTCCAGAATGTGAGATTTGGAAGCGCTCTGATCATCCCTGGGGACTCCCACGTGGAAACCGCATTCTCCTTGCGACCACACGCTTCCAACAACTCATGGAAAGAGTTCCGCGTATTTTCCATCACAAGCAACGGCGACTCGGCAGAGCATTGCCGCGGAATAGCAACCACAGTGCCCCAGAGTAGCCGAAAGAGAGATTTGACTGACGGAGGCACTATATCTTTCATCGATGACGTCTCCCGACAAAGTCAGATACGATTGGATCGTCGTAAACTGTACAGAGAGCTCCGAGAAGTGGGTATGGAGTACACTGGACTGTTCGCTGCGAGCAACGGAGAAACTAGAGCATCCCAGTCGGGGTCAATAAGCTGTTTTCCAATTCCAGACGCGCAGTTGACCATGCCCTCCCAGTATCAGCAATCTCACTGCATCCATCCTTCGACGTTGGATCTCTGCTTCCAGTCGGCCTTCCTCATCATGAAAACAGCAGGACTCCTCGGCAGCTCTACTGTGGTTGCCTCTATCAATAGTCTAGAACTCCATACCGAGATTCCTTCCAAGCCGGGGCAGGAGCTGCATGTCTCGACCAAGCTACAACAGCACGGTCGCTCCAAAGTGATCACAGACACAGCTGTGAGTCGTTTTCGAAACGGAAAACCCTCCGTGTTCATGAAGATCAACGGATTGGTCCTCGCAGGTGCGGGGGGCCCTCTACAGGCTGGAACATCCCAGCGCCCCGAAGGAGAATCTCTTACCCATCGAATCGAATGGTCGATTGATGCCGATTTGGCCGATTCAGGAACCGTCATCAAGCACTGTCAACTCGAACAGGCAGAGCTGATGTTAAGTGGACCCAATCGCATCTGCGAAGAGTACGCCAAGATTCTCGTTCAGCAAACGATCGCGTTGGTTGAACGTATAGAGGGCGAGCAGCTCAAGATAAATGGACATTTTGTCAAATTGCTTGAGTGGATGAGGGCGGTCAGCAGTACCAATCCGCCTGCCACTGCCACAGCCGTAAATGCCACAGTCGTAAAGAACCTGGAAGAACAAGTCAAAGCAACTGGTGCTCTCGGCGAGATGCTCGTCCACATTGGCCCACATCTCATAGATGTTCTCCAGGGGGATACCGAGGCCTTGGGATTACTCCAGGAGGATGATCGCCTCTATGGCATGTACAGCTACGAGAACTATGATAGGTGTCACCGGCAGCTCGCCAAATACGTCCAGCTCTTGCAGTTCAAGAATCCGAATCTGAGAATTCTTGAAATCGGTGCCAGAACAGCGAGCACCACTGTATGGATCCTGGAGGCTCTGTCCGCGGCGTCACCCGACTCGTCGGGAAGGCCCAAGCTGGGTGGGTATACCTTTACTGACATCTCCTCTGGCTTCTTCGCCAAAGCCCAGGATAAACTCAGCAAGTACGGCGAGTTGATGGAGTTCCAGAAGCTCGACATCGAGCAACCCCCAGCTCAGCAGGGCATCCAGCTGGGCTCGTACGATCTGATCATTGCGACCAACGTCCTCCATGCGACTCGTGACGTGGGAAACACCCTGCATAACGTTCGTAGCCTGCTGAAGTCTGGTGGCCGCCTGGCCCTCCTGGAGTTCACGGTCCCAACTGTGCACACCGGCTTGATCTTTGGCATGCTTCCGGGCTGGTGGCTGTCCGACGATGGCCGGAAGGGGGGTCCACTCGACGTATCTACCTGGGACGAGAGCCTTCGCTGTTGTGGTTTCTCAGGGGTCGAGGTGGAACTCCCTGATTTCTACACAAGAGCTGAGCACGAATTGAGTCTTTTAATATCGACAGCGGGCCAAGAAGAAAGGCCACTGGATGTTGAGCCTACCGGTGTCATGGCTGGGAAATATCGAAGAAATCTCTCCATCCCCTCGGACCACAGCAGCTCCGTTGACGAGTCACTATGGACGCCAGTATCGGATGATCTCAACACCCCAGATGCAGGAACGGTAGCAACAACAATAAGTTCCAGCTCACCACCCAAGGAGGAGTTTGATGACGGTCGAATCGTGCACATCGTACACGGCGAGTCCGAAGAACGCGTCGCCGACCACCTCACGAAGCTATTTCGCGGAGTCAAAATTCCTGCGAAGAAAATTGACCTGGCTACTTGTCAAGTGGACTACGGCCAGCCCGTGGTGGTACTCCTGGAAGTGAAAGGCCCATTCCTGGCTATATGCTCGGAGAGTGAATGGGAGCGAGTGCGGCAACTGTGTCACCTGTCAACAGTAGTACTCTGGGTCACCGCTGGAGCTGCTATTGAAAGCTCCAACCCGATGTCGTCTCTTATCACCGGACTCTCCCGTTGCCTCAGATCCGAAGACCACTCTACCAGATTCATCACGCTAGATCTCGAAGCCAAGTCAGATCTAGAGCAGACTCTGGGATGGGAGCTCGCTGCTTGTCGGTGCATCTTTAAAATCTCTCAGCGAGTTTTCCACGGCCCAGATACAAAGCGGGAGCCACTGATCGAGGAATGGGAGTACGCCATTCGCGAGGACGAAATTCTGATCCCCCGCCTCGTCGCAGATCACCACATGGACAGCTACATCCGTGACAGCGTGTCTCACTACCACCCGCGGCAGGATAAAAAGGGTCTCCGATCAGGCCGCGCCCTGGGCCTGAACATTCATATGCCGGGGCTCCTAGACACGCTATACTGGGAAGACTCAGATAGGCACTCGCGGCCTGTCGGATCAGAGGAGGTTCGAGTGGAGCTCGACTTCATCTCGCTCAACTTCAAGGACGTCATGACCGCCATGGGACAGCTGGGTGGTCACTTGGCTTTGCTCCTAGAGGGTAGCGGCAGGGTTGTCGAAATCGGGGAGGGCGCCTCGGGCATGTTTGCCGTCGGGGATGCAGTCTACGTGCTCGACTTTGACGGCGTCGCGACGACGTCCAACATTCACTGCTCCAACGTCCATCGGATGCCTCCAGATGTGAACCTCGAGATGCCTGCCGCGGTCGGCATCGCCTACGCAACAGCGTACTACTCCTTGGTTAGCCGGGGACATCTCCAAGCCGGGGAGAGGGTCCTGATCCACTCAGGGGCCGGCGCCGTCGGTCAGGCGGCGATTACGTTGGCGCAGAAGATGTGCGAGGCTGGCGAGATATTTGTGACAGTGGGCAGCGACGAGAAGCGCGAATTTGTCAAGAACAGGTTTGGCATTCCGGAGGAGAACATATTCTCCAGCCGCGGGCTCGATTTCTACCAAGGCATCCTCCAGCGCACCGCAGGCGAGGGCGTAGACGTCGTGTTAAATTCGCTCAGCGGCGAATCTTTGCAGAAAAGCGTCCAACTCCTAAGCCCTCTGGGCAGGTTTGTCGAGATTGGTAAGAAAGATCTGTTGTCTTCGGAATCCAGGCTAGAGATGCGGCACCTCGAAAGGAACATCCAATTCTCGACGGTGGACTTGACGCTACTCGGGCGAAGACAGCCAGCTCAGCTCCGCGAGATTTTCGCCACAGTATTGGACCTGGTCACTCGGGATAAGATTGCCATTATCAATCCCATAAAGGCTAAATCCATTTCCGAAACGGAAGAAACCTTCAGATTAATGCAAGCCGGGCAGCACATGGGAAAGCTACTGCTCAGAGTCGACCCTGAGGCATACATCCCCGTGAGTTTTTCATATTGATATTAAACAGCATATTTGATAAGTTGCAATCTAATTTAACATATGTAGGTACAACCCCCGAAACCAACAGCTGTAACGCTCAGTGCACACAGTTCGTATTTGGTAGTCGGTGGCACTGGAGGTCTCGGTAAAGCAACACTCCGACTCCTAGTCAATCTTGGCGCGAAGAGGCTTGTATCGATCTCACGTTCCGGCTTAGACAGCCAGACAACGAAAGAAATGCTCGAAGAAATGTCGTCAAGGGGAGTCGAGGTCACTGTACACAAGGGAAGTGTACTAGACAAAGCTTTACTCAGAACCATGAGCGAACAATGCAAAGAGCATCCCATACGTGGTGTTGTTCAGGGAGCCATGGTATTACAAGATTCCCGGATAGAGGAAATGACATATGACGAGTGGCGAGCAGCGATCGATCCCAAGGTCTCCGGTACTTGGAACATACATGAAGTCTTTGGAGATACGCTCGACTTTTTTGTTCTCTTTTCGAGCAGCGGCGGCATCATCGGGTCTTTCGGCCAAGGCAACTACTGCGCGGGTAATACTTTCCAAGACGCCTTTGCTCGTTATCGAACAGGAATGGGTCTGCCAGGTAGGTAAACACTAGTATTTTCCATGCATACTTTAACAAATGTTGGATACAGTACGTACGGGTTACTCACATTTGCTTTCCAGGCCGTTCAATCGATATTGGGTTCGTAGAGGGCGAAGGCTACACTGCGGAAAATGAAGTCGCGGCAGACTTTGTCAGGCGCCAGGGCTTGACGTCGTACCGACTCCAAGAGTTCCTGGTGACGGTCGAAGAGGCGATCAAAAGACCCGTCGGGGCTGCCCCGGCCGAAGCTCAACTACTCTGCGGCATAAGTAGGGCTGACCCGGCTTCTAGCTCACAAGAGGCGGCTCTGCAGAGGCCAGACCCTAAATTTTCCCACATTTGGAGGAAGCAGGGTGCTGCGTCTCAGGACCAGCGAACTTCAGCAGCATCTGCCAGCCAGATCGATGTCCAGGCCGCCCTACGCAGTTGCACAAGCGCTGCCGAAGCATCGGAAATGACCCTGCAGGCCGTCAAAATGAAGCTTGCCCGCCTCCTGGCTGTCCCAGCCAAGGATATCTTGGTCGACCGGTCGGTTGCGAGTCATGGCATGGACTCGCTCGTGGCGGTGGAGCTTCGCAACTGGATCTCGGCTTTCCTGGAGGCGCACGTCCAGACGGTTGAGCTTATGAGCTCCATGTCCTTTACGAATCTGGCATTGCTCATCGCCAAGAGGAGCCACTTAATCCAGCCTAGGGTGTTTGCCGACTAGACGTAAGAACAAATATATATCTATATCTATATCTATATCAAAAGGTACGTTTTGGGGCGGGGTTGGACAGGTCTCAGGCGCATTTGCTCGGTATTAGCAAGAATAAGTAGCTTGTTAATTTATTTAGCAACTTTTATACCATTGATAGCATAGTGATTAGAACCATTCGTAGGAGGCAACGCAATTCACGGTCGGTACCCCTGCTCAGCCCTATTGCTCCTGGCCAATTCTTGGTCGCCATCCCTGTCGACCATAGTCCGTACGAGCACATGCAGATCCAACTATACTTGTCGCGTTACGAGTACGAAAAGGTGCATAGAGTTTTCTGTTATTGACTGCTCTGCCGTGATCGTTCCTTCTCTCTAACAAAAGCGACTTCTTATAGTTCTGTCACCTGTGGCTGCCTTGGGGTGGCGATGTCATGTCGCCACCCAGGCCGCCTAGATGACGTTATTATCTAGAAGGTTCGATGCCACTACTTACCAACGACGTTCTGAAGACCCCTGACATATCCTTATACGTGACAATACTGCAGGTGCGCGGGGCGTCCAGCCGAGATGAACATAAAACTGGGGGTTCGGTTGTATTTTTTACTGAAATCCCGTACGATTGCTTTTGTATCTAGCCAAAAATGAGGCATGTGATAAGAGTCACCATCATTGCAACCGTCCAGTCCTTGGCAGCTTGCAAAGGTTCTCAAGCCTAGCCTTGTTGTTGGATGTGTCTACCAATATATATTGTCCCTCCGCGTCCGTGCCTCTCGTCACTCACCGGTCTACCCTTCCATTTCTCGCTGGGCTTATATTCCCCGTCGTGATCATAAAGACGGTATTGTTGCTCATACTTAGGCCTATTATCCTCGACTTATTATAGCTCTGCTCCGCCGCTCTATACCCAACATTGCAATAAGACCCTAACACCATCAGCCCCTATCTCGATTAGTACGATAATAGCGATAGTAAGTCTTATTAGGAGATCCGCGAATACTTTAACATTACCCTAGAGCAGTTTATAAGCTAGAACCCTTCTATCGGTGCATGCCCGCAGACTCCTCTTAGGAAGTGTTCCTCGAGTTCTAGGCTCTAGCCACGATATATAGCGTTATAGAGGTCCGCTAGATCCCCGGTCACACTAAAATCCCGGGCAATAAGCAGGCGGACGCCCTAGCAAAGGCGACCACCTCTCTACCCGAGCCTGCAGACGCTCTCCCGACACTGGCCCATCTACGCAGGACTGCCCGGCAGCAGCCCAGAGACGCGTTTAAAGCCTGGTAGGACGCCTCTGCACCCGACCAGTATAAGCCACTGCATCTTAAGCCAACCACCGGCTGCCCGCCTAAGCTCGAGCTCCCGCGACCTATACTCCACCACCTGCTCGCGGTAAGGTCCCGCCACGGAGACTTTGCCGACTACTACGAGAGATTTAACCACGACGACGCGCAGCTAATATGCTTATATAGCCGACGAAAAGAGCTAAACTATCTCTTCTATTATCGAAAGATCCTACCGCGGTATCGGATAAGGCTAATACCCTTACCGACTATAGTAGTTAATCGTGCAATAGGTAGAGACTTCGATAAGTTCGTTAAGCTAGCGAAGGTAAGCTCGTTCTTTAAATAGGTATATCCTCGCTACTAGGCGAATAATGTTCTCTTCTTTCCGTTCTTTTATAGTATTACTATCCTACGATCCGTTTAGGCGGAGGGTGCGTTACTACCCTTTTGCCCGCCCGGGTTAATTAAGGCTGCTCTCGTAGTCTCCGACGACGGTCTCGTATAGACCTATTAAATAGCATAATTTAATGCCGCGCTTAGACGACCCGCTAACGGGCACCGAGCACGAACTATAGCGCCTTAGAGCCGATAAAATGCTAGATAGTAGCTTTATTTACTTTTCGCGACTAGAGAAAGGAGGGACGCGAGGGGGCAATCTCTAAGGAACCTACTAGAACCTATATCGATAATATAGGATAGTCCTACTAGCTTAGCACGTCCTATGCCCCTTAGGGACCTAAGCGGCCTTACGGCCGCTAGACGGAAAATATACTACTACTACTACTACTACCCTTTTATTAGTCTCGATTGCCGGCTATAGAGGTATTAATCTTATTATATCGTGCTATAAGAGAGACTCGCCGCTTTAAATACGACGACGACGTCTAAGCTATCGACTGCTATAACTACGACTACGACTACTACCGCCTTAGGCCCCTCCCCTATACTATACCCTACCCCCCTTTCGGTAACACCCCCCTTTTAGTAGTATAAATAAAAAAGTCCCTACTAAAAGTCTACTATTTAAACTATATAAAATATTACTAGAACTTAAGAATAAAAATATAAAGATTATATTATTTTATAGAGAAATAAACGCCCTTATTTATACTAGCGCTATTTTACTACTCTCGTATATTTAGTAGTAATAAAAAGAGCCTTAGGTGCCGCCTTAACTTCTATTATTAAAGCTAACTCTACTTTTAAGACCTCCTCCTCCTCGGTCTTAGAATTTAGTATAATAGGTATTCTTTAACTTCTACTTTATAGAATAGCTTCCTAAGCTACTAAAGCTTTACTAAGAGTTATAAACCGTTTAATAAGGTTCGGAATTACTCTCCTCTTCTTACTTCTCTATAGCTAGGCTACTTTTACCTCTAGCTTCGCTATTCTATTACTATACTTAGCAACCGTTTATTCTTAGGCTTTAAAGCCTTCTTACTATTACGGCGTAATACCTTTAAGTATTAAGAGTCTTATCCTTTAAGAAATCGCGAACTTAGTAGCTAGTTCTTAGGTATATTATTAGGAGCTAAAAGTAGCATAGAATTTATAGATATCTCTACTATATCTATATAAATTTCTATATACCGTAATACCTTAGATTGTAAAATTCGCTAATTTCTAGTAACCCTCTAGCTAGAAAAAAGATTCTTTATAGTTATTCTAACTTTATATACTTTAGTATATACCTATATAAAATTAACCTTATTAATAAGCGTAGAATCCGTTAAATAGGTTATTTTTATAAGTTCTTTTCTATACGCCGTCTTAATAGTATTAAGAATATATTTATTTAACGGCTTAAGGTTATAAGAGTAGTAAGAAGGAAGGTAATAGTAGTAGGCATTATTTAAAACGTATATAGCTATCTATATATCCTTATCCCGGTTAATAGTAATTTCTAGGTAGATAAATATAGAAACGCACCGTTTTATAGCTTTTATATCTATCTAATATAATTAGTCTAGCATCTAACTTATTAGTAGGCCGTATTATAAGAAATAAACTCTCTTAAGCTACTTAATAGTAATAAGCTATCTATCTATTAGTTAGGCGAGGTAATATAATACTAGTCGGTTATTTTACCGAATTCTATTATAAATTAATATTTCTAGAGTTCTTTACCCTTAAAAGTAATACTAGGAGTAAGGGCACGGCCGTCCGCGGTAATAGCTTCGATAAATAAGGCCTAGTTATAGGGCTATAGTCCCTTTAAAAGGGCCTTCCCTTTTAGGTCTATAATCCTAGCTATAAAACTATTTAAACCTAGTAAAAAGAGGCTAGGTAGTTTAAATATTAAGCGGTAAATTAAACGCTTACTAAAGCTAAATATAATACCGCCCTATAGTATTCTCTAGTTTAATCCGCTTATACCCCTTATCCTTAATATCGAAGTACTAGTAAACCGCCTAAGGCGTAAAAGCGTTAAACTTATTAGCTTCCTAATATCTTTTACGCTTATTTTTAATCTCTAGATAGCGATTAATAAATTTAGTAGACCGGTATAGCCTACTATCTACTTATTATTTAGTTATATTATAGAGTTTCTACGTAGGCGCGGATCGCTCTATAATAAGGAGCAGAGCTAAGAGACTCTTAATAGATAATCTAAGAGATAAGCTAAGCCTTCTAATTCTTTCTTAAGTGTTTATAAGCCTAGATTTAATTAGCCGGGGCTGCTTAGTTTATTATTAGTTAGAAATAGACTATTAAGGTATATCGTACTTTTAAGTAGCGCGATACTATAAAAAGACGTTATTTATAATTTAAGATATAATAATTATATTCTCCTCCTTTATATAAGTATATCGAAGCCGTTTTAAGGTTATTTTAGATATATAGTAGAGGGATAATAAGAATAATTATAATTAAGAAGGAAAGGAAGATTATATAGCTAAATAGTAATTTCGCGCGTAACGTTAACCTAGACTATAGCGCCCTATATAAATATTTAATCGCCTAAAAGTAGAATTCGGTTAATTCTTTATTTATTTTAAGTAACTACTTATAAATATCTTTTAAGTTAGCTATAATTAATATAAGTAAAATAGTAGACTTTTTATAAATTTTTTTAATTACGCTACTAAAAGGGGGGTATTACTAAAAGGGGGGTAAGGTTTAGTATAATAAGGAGATACTTATAATTATATAGTACTTATAAGAGTCTTTAACTATTATTATCGCGAAGACTATTACGCTACGTAGGCAAAAGTAGAACGCGCTCCGATAGGTGCGCTGTAAATGATATATATCTAGCAACCGCGTCTTCCGACACACCCCCTCAGGGATCGCGGCTCCGCCGGGAGCCCTAGTCCGTAGCCTAAGACGCGGGAGTCGAACACCAAGCACCGCGCCAATAACCCAAGGAAATCTAAGAGAGGTAGTTGCCTACGGGGGATTAAACCCCGCACCGCGCGTAGTTACCGGAAGTTATAGGGGTAGTGTGCTATCCCCTCCCGGGCTTATAACTCTCGCGAAGAGAGATACGAGAAGTGCATAAAAATATATAAAGGTAAAATTAGAAGTAAGGGGTCGGATAAGTAGGGCAAAGAGATTTAATTCTTATAGGAGTAGTAATAAAGGTAGGGGAGTAATTATTATATTGCCTTAATTATCCTTCTTTCCTCTATCTAACGCCCCTCTTTATACCTATCTAGTATCTTAATTAATAAAGAAGATGCTACTTAAAGAAGCTACTAATATCCTTTTAACTACCGAGCTTTTT